TACACATTTTAAGAAGTTCTTTCTCAAGTTGAAACCCCACCAAGTCTTGTCCTGGCTCTACATTCTACACTCTGGGCTGGTAAGGTAGAGCAAGTCCCCTTCACCTTCTTCCACACCGTCTTCTCTCGAGTGCTGAAGGCAACTTTGATGTTTCTCCTTAATGGTTTCCATCTTTACAGTAAACGTTACCAATGCCTTCGGTTACTGTGAATGTGGCTTTCAGGAATCCATGGAGACATATCAGTCAGAAGGATGCTCATTTGCTTAGGAGTGTTCCTTCAGTAGAACGCAAAGAAGATGGCTGGAGGTTCACTTCCCTCTCGTATATGAGCAACTGTACTTGACACCATTGAAGAGCCTGGTGTCCACCCACATCTTTTCTTCTGACCCCCCCCATTCTCTCTCTCTCACACACACACACACACACACATACACCATCTTCTGTGGTACAGAGTGAGTCATCGTGCTAACCACAGTGATTGGCTGAAAAAGTCACAAGGTCCAAGCTGAAATTAACCTGAGTTAATTTCTCCAAGATTGCAAACTGGAGCCCAGTGAAGTCCTGCTTCCCTGTCTCCCTGGGGAGTGTTTAGACACGAAAGTCGCTTACCTGCCTCATGTGTTGAGGCCCTTTGCTAGAACATGCCACAGTGATGTAGGGGAAAGGATCTCATGCTTCAAGAAATTGCTAAAACCACATCCACACTTTCCCGTTCTGTTGTACACTCACATAAGTCCATAACCACCACCGCCACTGCCACCGCCACCACCACATGAAGCCGGTTTATATCACTCCCAGCACAGTATCCTGTCTAGTACCAAAGCCATAGGATGTCAGTCATCCTAACAGGGTCAATGGAACATGAGTCATAAGAGAAAAACATCTCTTCATCATCCTACAGAAGGATATAGAAGAATATCTTCTATAAGAAAAATGATACCCTCTTACCAAGGTTAAAGCTACCTTTCCTAACAGGCAGGCTCACACAAGGTCACAGCACTACTCAAAACCTCATTCCCATTACTACCAGAGCACCTGATGCATTAGTAGGTGATTAAGACACCCTCCCCATGGTATATGGACAGAGAAATTACAGTACTCAGGGCCCTGGATACAGGGAAAAAAATGAAGACACGAACTCCCTAAGGAAACTTCCGGAACATCATCTCACCTTTTCAGTGTCAGAATGATCATCAAAACTGTGGAGATTAGTTTTTCTCTTCAGTAGTTTTTATCTTTTTCTTTTATTTTGCTATAAAATGCTATGATTCCATCCATACTCGATACTGGTAAAGAGAATTCTCCTAAAGCTTGGGCGATACAGATGAAGGGGGGGAACACAATGTAAAAAGGAACCCAGGACAAGGAGACGACTCCCTGAGTGAAGTATCTACCACGTAAGCATGAGGACCTAGGTTCAGATCCCCAGTACCTGCATAAAGCCTGACACCATGGCTGTAATACCACCATTCCCGTGGTGAGATGGAAGGCAGAGGCAGGAGAATCGTCAAAAGCCCACAGACCACGTAGCCTGGTATAAACACCTGCTATCCAGAAATGGGCCCCAGGCCAGGGCTGACAAAGGAGGCTGCACTCTGACCTTCAGGAGTTACTCCATGGTGTGTGTATGTACAGTATGCCCAGGCAGGCCCCCAACACTAGTGCTCTGTTTCTGTCTTTCCCTCTCTCTCTCTCTCTCTCTCTCTCTCTCTCTCTCTCTCTCTCTCTCTCTCTCTCTCTCTGTCTGCCTGTCTCTCATGATTTTTTAAGAAGAATACACACAAGACCCTGAGACAGGGTAACCTGCTGAGGAAATAATGACAGGGGGAAAAACATCACACACAAAAGAAGTTGGGAAATGATTTTTTAAGTGATGCAGTCAAGTCATCTTCCTACTGGGTTCCAACCCCATCCCAACCACCGTCAAGGCAGAGATCACCTTTCTGGTTTCATGGGGTCTTCTGGCCCCTTCCTGTGCTATGAAATCCATAGGGCGCTTCCTTCAAACCCCTGGCCTGTGTTCTCTCAGAGTTGGCTTCCCCCCTTCTGTCTCTGGCCTGAGAGTCCCTCCCTCCTCTCTCACCACCCAGTGACCAAACACACAAGCATTAAACATTAAGTATTGTGTACCAGCATATTGTACTGTGTATACACACAATGCTAAGTATGTTCCATCGATTAGCTCAGTTACTTCTCAAGACACACCCGTATGGGACATCCCAGTTATTATTTACATTATAAAGGGGAAAGAATTGGGACTCTGGCTCTGAAAGAGTGTGCCTTACTCCCAGTACATGCAATACGCAAGATCCCCGTTCTTCTGACTCCAGGGTCTTGCATTTACCAATTACAAGATCCACAAGGGCACTGAGAGAAACAGGGGGTAGCTGCCAAGATGGGAGCAGAAGCAGAGAGCCCAGGGAAATGAAACCAACAGGAGCTCCTTCTCGATTTTGCTTGGAGTCAGCCCTGTTTGAAGTAGGACCTTGCTCCCATTATGTAGCAATAGATTATCTGCCATTTTGCATTGTGGAAATGCACCCTCCATTATCCAGGCTAATCTTGTTGACTGTAGAATGCTGTACACAGACATTACAATGACAGACAACTAATTCAATCTTCTCTGCTAGCAAGATGCTACTATTAACGTCTCTTCAATTCCTCCCCTATAGCTTTTGATGGAGGGCACTTCACATACATCACGGTTATTCCTTCCTACAGTATCTATGAGGAAAAGTAATTGAGACTCACTGGGGGGAAAGGAGAGAGTGGGAAGAGATAAGAAGGTTCCAAATACAACACAGAACACCACACACAAAAAAATTAAAGAAAAACAAATTGATGTGAGATGACTGGTTATCTGATCATTTGTGGTGCAAAAAAAAAAAAAAGAAATGAATGTTTGTAACCCATGGCTAAACTCAGAGCATCACTTGATTGTGACGGAATCCATATGTTCAAAGAGTCAGGGTGGAATTTTTCTGCCAGGAAGTGCAAAGATAATGTATATCTCCTATAGAAGGGAGACCTCACAGTGTGTGGCCTACCTGGGGTCTTGAACAGCTGGGCTGCCTCATTACTCAGCCAAAACCCAACTACGTCATATTTCTCATCTTCCTCTAACTTGTGTAAGTCTTCCTGTATCTATCCACTAGGGCATTGTTTTGATTTTTGATACTGACACTCACTGAAAGTCATCGGAGGGTTTGATGTGATAGCGAGAGACTCCGTTTTACTAGAACAGCAGCAACAAGACAGGCTCACAAACGCTTTGGGATCAACCAGGAACGTGTGATGTCTAAATTAAAAATGTGCACCAAGGAACGACATATAGCAGAGACAGCCTCAATGAAGTAATAGTCAATCCCAGTTCTTCTCCCTCCCTTCCCCCCCCACCAGACCCCTCAGCCCCCCACACCATCCCCTCTCAGCTCCCCAGGGAGGGTGAGGCCCTTCATGGGGGAATCTCCAGAGTCTGTCATTTCATCCCGTGCAGGGCCTAGGCCCTCCCCCATGTGTCCAGGCTGAGAGAGCCTCCCTCCATGTGGAATGGCCTCCCAAATTTGTTTTTTAATACTTAAAGTTTTAAGCTGAAATACAATGGCAGGTTGTATAGAAGGTACTTTTAAAATCTTTACAGGTGCAAAGTCCTTCAAACAAACTAAGGGAAGAGGACTACTGGTTTCTTATTCTGATGGATTTGCATCAAACAGAAGGAGCATGGAGGAGAGAGAGAACATTTAATAAACTGCTAGACTAAAAGAAAAAAATCCCATGATGAAATACCACCCATTGTCAGAGAAATGGAATAGAATTAGATTTTTGTGTTTTTGTGGTTTTGTTTTTGTTTTTGTTTTTGTTTTTTGGTGGTGGTGGAAAATTTCAAAATCTGTGTATCTTCCAGTCAATGAAGCTTTTCCACAACACCAAATGCAAAAAAAAAAAAAAGGAAAAAAAAGCTATCTGGTATCAACACATCGAGCTGAATGTTTCAATCCCTATTTCCTTACACCAAATTGCTTGAAACCTTTAAGATACAAACTTCAGTGAACTAATGTCCTGGGGTTTTTTATTATTATTTTATCCCCTTGAGCACGTCACATTCATCTCCAGACGGCAATGGGCAGAAGAGCATCAGGCCATATTCTGAAGCCCAAGCGTCGCTCGCAGGCTGGAAGGAACTAGCCTCACTGGCCGTTAAGATGCCAAACTTTCTCAGTCCTAGGCTGCATTATGGTTCCTGTGGGCTAGCATTCCCTCCTGACAGAAAGGGTTAGATCTTTTTACACTCCCAGGCACACAGTAGGCATTTAACAAATAACGCTGAAGTGAAGCTCATAGATTGGCTTAAGGGGAAGAGTGGGAATCTTGCTGAGGACACCATGGGTCCAAATCCTGGCATTGCCCAACTGAAAGACCATCTCCGGAATCAGGGTCACCGCAGTGGAGCGCAAATTCGCACGTGTATCATCAAAGCCTAGGCATCAAAAGGATTGTTTACTGAGCTGATGGGCCACCAAGAGTCACTTATGGGGGATTATACCCCAGCTCCCCCATTCGGGGGGGGGGGGGGGGGAACTCACGTTTTGTGTCTAAGCTAACCGTTTCCCTATGCTTCGGGTGTCCACCGTATGATTTAAGTCCAAGATTCGACCTCGCTGATCCAAGCCAGACACCCCCAACACCACCCTGGCTCCAATACCACAGGACGAGGTGCTAGGCACCACCGTGCAGAATGCACAGCAGGATTATCTATCTGTGGGCACCTCCGAAGGTGACAGACGGTGGCAGGAAGCAGCGGGGCATGGGAGAGGGGCCAGCTCAAGCCCCCTGTGGTTACCCCCTCACCCAAATTTATGGGTCCCACTCGCTGGAACCGCAGCCAGACAGACAGCAGAGGGATTGGTGGGGTCGGGACTTGGGGGGATGGGGGGTGGTAGGGGCGGGGGGTGGGGAGGTCAGAGAACAAACCGGAGCCTGATGGGACTTAGGACGGTACCTGGTGTGGCTGTGGTTGCGGGGACAATCCTTCTTCTCCATGACGGCCGGCACGCAGTTTGTGAGCTCGGTCCAGTCGGCGTGCAGCCCGCAGCTCCAGCCGGTGGAGAAGCGGGAGAAGAGCCAGGTCTCCTTCTTGCCCGGCCGGTGGCAGGTGCACTTTTTCTGGCCGGCTTTGCAGCTACACGGCTGCTCCAGGCGGATGTTCTTCACCAGGTGCCGGCCGAACGTGGTGCCCCCCCGTCTTCTGGATGTGCAGGAACACGATCACGTCGCGCCCTTTGATGTTGAAGTCCACGAAGCGGGTCAGGTCCTTCAGGGTGAAGTTGAAGCGCGGCACGAACCGGGCCAGGGAGCCGTTTTCGGGCGCCTCGGGATCCAGCTCCTCCTCCTCCTCCTCCTCCTCTTCTTCCTCCCCGGGGTCCCCCGGATCCTCATCCTCATCCTCGGGAGCCGCGACTCCTTGGGGACCCTCGGGCGGTCCCCGGGGTGGTGGGGGCAGCTGGGGCCGCCGCTCCCACTCATCTGGGGGCGCCTGTGCCCGTCGGGCAGGACTCGGGGCGGCGGGAGGGCGAGCCTCCCCGACGCGGGGCTGCTCCCCGAAGTTGGTGCAGGAGCTGGTGCAGGAAGGGGACACGTACTGGTACATGATGACCACGAAGAGGAGAGTGAGCACGGGCGTCAGCAGCCACTTGTTGAACCTTTCATCCATGGTCCCGCTCTCAGGCCGGCAGGTGAGGCGGCGGCGACGGCGGCGGCAGAGGCGCGATGGGGCGCCTGCTCGGAAGTTTCGGGGACTCCGGGGCGCGGCTCCGAGCCCGCCGCTCCTCCATGCCCCTGCCGCCGAGGAGCGCGGCTGGCTGGCTGCCCCGCCGCACTCCGGGGCTTGCGGAGCCGGGGCCTACGAGCGGAGCCGGGAAGACGGGCGCCGGCGGCGGCGTAGGGCTCCTCGGGATCCCCGGGGCGCCTGGCTCCAGCCGGCTCCTCTTGCGCCCGCACGCGGGGCTCTCAGGCGACACGGAGCATCCCGCCGCCGGCCCGCAGACGCTCAAACGCAGGGGCGCAGGGTTCGGATCCCGGACCTGCCCCGGGGCAGCTGCGGCAGCGAGCACAAGGGCTGCATGAAGCTCGCCAAGGCGCGGGCCAAGGGCAAAGGCGCGGCCCCGGCCCCCGCAGCCCCAGTCCTCCGTGTGCACGGCGCCCCGCACCTTCGCCCGCGGGTCCCCCCGGGTGCCCGGAGCCCGCCGCAAGTTTGCAAAGCGGCCCCTCGGCGCCGGCGAGCAAGACGCCTCTGCGGAGCCGCCTCCCGGGCGAATCGCACTACTGATCCGGGTCTGCCCGCCCAGGCGCAGGCAGCGCGCACACACTCGCTCGCTCGCTCGCTTGCTCGCTCACGCGGGCTGGCACCGCCACAACCCGCCAGCCGGTGTGACAGGAGCCCTGCTACCCGCAGCAAATGGAAAAAAAAAAAAAAAAAAAAAAAAAACCTGCCCTAGGTACAGAGCATGCGCCAAAGCCTTCCTCAGCCCCGGAGGAGTTTCCAGGGGAGGAGTCCACGGCTCTGCGGGGCTCGCGGGAGGCAGCTGGGGGTGGGAACCCTGCCTGCCTAGAGCCGGGCAGATCTGACAAAAAGGCTAGCGGTGCAGGCAGCGAGAGCAGGCCCCACGGAGGGCGTTGCTGGCGATGATCTGATTCCTCTACATCGCGACGTTGGCGGCTTTCTCGGCGTGAGAGTGGACAGAAACGTGGTTGGTCTTGTTTGCGGGAATAACACCCCTAAGGCAGGAAGTCCCACACAGATGGGGCTTTCTCCTGTCCCTCCTCAGCACGGTAATGGCTCCAGACTTCATAGACTGTCTCCCCAAGGCATTCAAACTGATGCTCAAGTTTGTGCCAAGCCTTCCTCAGCTATCGGCTTGAGCAGGCTCAACGCTGCAACTTTATTCGAGCAGCAACCATCAAGGCTTCCTAGGCAAAGGGCATTGTGTTCGGTGCACACTTCACCGCGAGGGCGGTCCAGCACTCAGCCATGCAGGGTGTGAATGGATTCTAAGGGTCACCTCCTAAAAGTCATTCTAACACAAAGTGAGCCCTTTGATCTTCAGGACAAACCTTTCCCAAGGCAGACACAACACCAACTCTCCTCACCTGTGTTTCCCAACAAAGTCCTTCTTCGTCCACAGATGTTTTCAATTTTTTTTCGGTTTTCGAGGGAGTAAATTTTGAAATTTCCCCAGAATCCAATCTTCGTTTAAATATAATTCATGATTTTCGGATTATGAATGGATGTGCCAACTAGTTCACATCAAAGTGGAGAGTACCTGACCCGCAATGCCTGGATCCCCTAGAGCTGTTTTCCAAGACATAAGGGGCAGTGCATCGAAATTTGAGACAATCAGTGTGGATTACTGGTCCAGGCTAAAGGTGTCCCTCCTAGTTACCAGCCAGACATATCCACCTGCTATGGTAGCGTACACCTTCACATCGCAGCACATTTTTGCCTGTCTCGTTAGAGGTGTGTGATGTGTGGGACTTGCTTCTTCCTGGGAACTGCCCCTCCTGTCAGGTCCCCATGTGGAACCATGGGTTAAAATCCAGATCTCTTTTGGGAATGCTGACACTTGCTCATCAGAAGTTGTTTTTACTGTTCTAGACAGGAGGAGTTCTTCCCAACAAAATGTTCCTCCTCTGCTTCCACCCATTTCCAAGCTTTAACAACTGCAACACATGCCAGAGCATTCTTGATAGTGTAGAAGCCTACATCCCTAAGGAAGGTGTTGGAGAAAGTGAATGGGGTTCCCAGACACTCACTCTCTGGACTCTGTTTCCCCTCCCTCAAGTTTAAAGTCCCATTAATCATCACACTACACTCCAAAACAAGAAATTGTTGTTCTTGAAAGAAGAACCCATAAGGCCCAGGAATTATTTCCAAAATCCATGGAGTTGACAGAGGGTTTCTTGTTTGTTTGTTTGGTTGGTTTTGTTCTGCTTTTACGACTGGGGAGGTAATTGATACAAATGCATGTGCAAGGTCCTAGGTTTCAATTTCCAAAGCGAACTTCTTTTTTTTTTTTTAAGCTGAATGTGATGACCAGTATCTCAGCATCTCTGCTAGTGAGGGACAAACAGACCATTAGGACTCTGCTGGCCAGTCGGCTTAATCTACTTAACAAGTTCCAAGCTGGTGATAGGCTCGGGTCTCAAATAAAAGGTGCTTGGCATTTGAGGACAACATCTCAAGCTGTCCCCTGGCCTCCACATAAACAAACACACAAGAGCATGCACACATACACTCACATACACACTGACACACACACACACATACACACACTCACACACATATACACATACACACTCACATGCACACAGACACACACTCATGTGCACACATACATGCACACACACAGACACACACACTCACATACATGCATGTATGCACACGCACACACACTTCAGGTAAAAAGTCATTATGATTTTGTGCCTTGGTACACTATTTTATTGGAGAAATACCATATTTTCTAGAATGCTGCTTTATATCTCATGGCTAAGTAGAGTCTTTCTACCCAGGTGGAGTGTTGGTGATCATTTACACAGTGGAAAATCATTTTCCTAGTCATGTTTTCCTTGGTTCCAAAGAACAGCACTCTAAGGAGATTTAAAAAATGGGGAGGGGGGTGTGATATCTCATTTCAGAGACGAGGAAACTGAACCAAGAAAAATCAGGTGAAAGCAAAGTCAAATTAGAAGCTTCTGATACACTGAAATGCATTCAAACCGCCACCTAACTAATCCAGGAAACAGCAACAACACAGCTCATAATTTCCTCTCTCCTGTCTTGAGACCCTCAGAGGCAGGAGGCAGGAAGAGACAAGAGAATTGCTACAGAACAATCAAGTTACTTTCCCTGTCCCCATGGCTTGCTAGGCAAAACAGAGCAATTTCACAGCCTGCAGTGTTATGGTGTCTAGTCATAGTTCCCAGATAAAGAAGGGAAAGAGTACCAATCATAAGTCAATGGCATCATTATTAAAACAGGACGCTTATGCTAATTTCCAAAGAAAATCCTGTAAGACTACAACAGCTGTGTTGTTGGTAACTTACATAGCCATAAGTATATGTGCCCTCATGACAGTGTTCAAAAACATGCTATTGTTGTTATTGTTGTTTTTGCTGTCAGTAAAATAGTTGATGGGGCGCCGCCATTTTCTTGGGGTAACTGGAAGAAAAGCAATACACAGATCTGAGGCAATTGCGGAGATGATTCAGGCATGGGCTCAGGAATCCACTTCTAATGATAGGTTACTTTGGTCGAGTATGCTCACCTTTTCTCTCCCAGGTGTGAGTACCACAGTAAACCTTGTTGTGAACCCAAGCAAAGCTCTTAAGCCATGCAATAAACAGGCTTCCTTATCTATGGGGGCAGACATCGCACTCTGCAGAAAATGAATAGGAACTTTCTAAAACTGAATGCTCTCCAGGTGAAAGGGAAAAAACAAAACAAAACATACTTGCATTCGGCCTACTATAGCTACGCCAGGATGACACCAGCTGGCGATTGTTTCTTGCTAACAGATTGCAGCTACTATGATTCCTACATAAATTATTAAAATAATAAAAGTAATGTCTCTCAAAAAGCTCCCTTCCCCTTCCTCTGCTGTCTAGCGATAAGCTTAACGCTTACCTACCTGTTAGGCGATTTGTCCACCTAATTTTATGCCTTAATAAGCTTCACTACAATTGTCTTCCTACCTGATGTTTTGTCTGCCTTCACTATCTCCCTCTGTTCTTTGCAAATATTCTCAAGCCTGCTACCAGCACCGCATAACCCCCTCCCCCCTCGGGATTCAAACTTTTGATTAGAACAGTCCTCATTTAACCAAGTTCAGTTGGGAGACAAAATTGCATCTCGCCTTCTTCCTTTTCCCACTGGTACAAGAAACGGTCTTTGAAGACACCCTGGAGGGATTAGAGGTCCAGACAGACCCAGAGAATAGCGCTGGATGCCCCGTGCTTGCACACGGGGACGTAGAAATGATGCAGATGGAAAGCAAACCACATCACCAGTCTGACTGGTTGCACGAATCCTCTTTCAAGAGTGAGTCCCGGGTGGAGAGACGGCCCAGCCGTTCAGGGGACTGATTGTTCTTCTGGGAGAACTGGGTTTGATTTCCAGCACCATATGACGCTTGCAACAGTCCGGGGGGAACCAAACACTCTCTGTCCTCTTCAGCACCGCAGGCGCAACAGGACGCAGACATACACCCATGCATGTGCAATTTAAAAACACGAAATGAACAATAAAAAAAACTACTTCCTTCTTGATTTTGTAGACGAGCCCTGCCCCCAAGTCCCTCAGTGACACAGTTTGCAGGCCACGCTAGTCTCTTCCTCAGGAAGTTATTAGAAGCATCTGGAAAGTCAGGAGCAGATCACAGACAGAGCTGTCATCTAGACTAAACGCACCCCTCTTCCCTGCGTCATTGTGACTTCGAGGCAGCTGTGCCACTACAGACTGCATTTCAGAATTCCTATGCATATGAATGGATAATTTTTTTTTTGGCTTTGTTGTCTAACCTTCCTCACCCGCCGAAGACAGCAGCCTGTCTTGGAAGCACGGAAACTGCAACTGTGTGCATAATGTGTGTTCATTAACTCAGCAGAGCATAAACAATGCGCTAGCGTTTGCGTAGTAGGTGCGCAGTTATTTCTTCAACAAGAGTTTGCTGAGCATTT